AGATAGAAGCGTTTGTTGAATCTGACGTGACATGTTCGTACGAACCMTTTGTACGAACAAAAGTAAGAGAAATTTAGGATAAGAATACAAACATGTTCTTGCATGAGGCCCGTTGGGTTTTGTCTGTCCACACATCAATGCCAGGGTGGCATTTCAAGATTTTTACACTCTAGAACTTGTTTTATATCATTTTGGTGCTCCTTAAATGCTGTTTTCCTGTGGATACAAAGTTGAAACAATAAATAAAACTTGTGTTTTCAGAAAAAGTGTTTTTTACACGGACGGTTGAACTTTCCTCTTCAGTAATGTAGCTTGACTTAATTCAATTCAATTCAATTCAGTTTATTTATATAGCGCCAAGTCACAACATACAGTATGTTGTCTCAGGGCACTGTACATAAAAATAAAATAAAAAACTCTGCCATAAGAAATTCTCACTGWTGCTTCAAAAACAAATTGCTCTGCCTGCAATATACTGACTCCTCATATGCCCTCCATCCATTCTCGCTTCAGTTAAAGCATCCTTTAACAAACAGTCTTTGCGTCCTTTCTTTACTTCATGGCTCTTGTTCTCATCTTTATCTCCTTCCATAGCTTTTCCCAGGTCACAGCCTGAGGGCCGCCAATGGTCTGCTAAGCCCTCCGCTGGAGGATGCAGTGCGTGCCAGCCAGAATTCACTGTGCGACATCCTCCAGGAGAAAGAAAAGAAGACCAGCACGAGCACGGGAACTGGCACCAGCCTCGGCATGACCGGAGGCATGGCGGGAGCAGGCACGAGCATGGATCACTCTGCCCTCATCCAGCTGCGTGCCAAGAACTGCAAGCAGAAGACCGATGCTAACTTTGTGGAAGTTATCAGGGAGAACAGGTGAGCAACAGGAGYTGSRCTTTAYGAGCTGATAATGCTGTTCAGGGAYGACTAAAGGCTYCRGCWTGCTGCAGCTGAACTGCYGAAATCGTGCYGAACTGTCGCAGTTTCGTGACGAAAACCGCGTCATTCGGTTCTCATTGTTGACATTTCGGCCCTTCTTGTCGCAACCCGCCGGTCGAACTTTTCAYCCCCCTYCACATAAGAACACATACGAACTTTATTGCGTTGTAGGAATTTAGTTCAGTTTTAGGTAGGTTAGTACTGATTTTAGAAGCACAACACTATATTCTTAGTTCTCTTTTAGGAATAATAAGTGTTAATCTAGTGTTTAATCTATTGTTATGTCTTGATTAAAATAGGTTTAGCTACATGTCCGAAACACATAAATAACCGCTTGAAATACATTAGGTGAGAATTGTGTCTGAATGCCTGTGACTCAGCTGTAGGCCAGCAGGGGGCGAGCGAAGGCATTGGAGAAGCTGTATAAATACTTGAACTTCCTGTTTTATAGTCAGTGTGGGTTTCCTGTCTGCAGCAGCAGCAACAAACCTCCACTCAGATTCCAGATTCTGGTGTTGTCTGGTTTTCATTCCTCCTACAAATCACTTTATTTAACATCTGTGTTTATCATCTCGATTTCAATTTATTGAATACAAGTTTTCTTACAGCGTGATTGGTCAGAAGTTTGTGGGAGTGTTTGTCAGACGCGGCGTTTTGCATCAACCACTCGCTTCAAAAAAAGAAAGCGGCTCGCTTCCAGAGACGACTGTTACCAGGAAGCAGCAGTTTATAAAGATCGTCAAACCGTGAAAAACTCAGAAAAGGGGATAAAACAGACATTTTTCACAGTGGAGTCTGACTGATAAAAACTTTGGAGTTTAATCCGGGACCATTTTGTGGTTAAACAACGTTGGGTGATGAGTCTTGGACCTTTTTTTTTTGGCATTGAACTCCCCCGGGAAGAAACCCCATGCAGTGACGTATGCTGCTGCTGGAGGGGTGTCTAAAATGTTTGCATCTGTTTAATCAGATGTCACATATTATATACCTCTGTATAACCATGTTAATATTTTTGTTGTACAAATACAGTACAAGTTTTTCTTATTTTATCAAAATTTGAACATTTTTGTTCCGGGCAGGTAACATGTTGTYGAACCCTGCCCACAGATGTATCTTAACTTGTTCAAGAACCCCATAATAGGTCCTCTTTAAAGCTGCTGTTTATATTAAAGTACGAAAATCACTTGTAACGTTTTAGTTGACTGATTTCTTTCCRCTCTGTCTTCTTTTCTGTGGTTCCCAGTCTGATGAAGAATGACTTTTTCAAGCCACCGATTAACAAGATCAGCCTGAACTTTCTCGAGCAGCCTCTGGAAAAAGCGTACCGCAGCAGCTACAAGGAGGAGGTACACAAATATCAACACAAACACACACTTTTTCTGCTATAAATGATGGGGATTTAGATTTTTCATATTTTTGCATGTGATTTTAGCATTTTTCACTCTGAACCCATGTTTTCTGTACCTTTATTTATCCCTCTGAGTATGTTTGCATGATATAAATAAAAAAACCACATTCTTTTTGCTACTCTGAGTCTTAGCACCAATTTGTCCTGAAGCTGTAGTTTTTCAGCCCCCTGCTGTTGAATCTGTGGTACTGCAGGTTTAAAAGCATTAAAGAAACACTGATGATTGTCAAAACTTATGATGTTTGGCTCATTGTTAATTGTATGAAGCCTATAAAGCATTCAAACTATTGAGATCCTTTTATCTTCCTTAGGCTTTTCAGCAAGTAACTCTTTTTAATATTTTTGTGCTATTTAACAATTCATACGTCAAAACAATCAGCTCATTCAGGACASTCCTGTTATGGCCTCAGCAATGTATACTTCTTGAGATATTTAGTTTTTTTCCTGACATTTTTTTCTCAATGAGCTGTCAAATTGTTGGTTAAATTGTGTTTTAAAACATTATGGTTCATTTATTAATGTTGTTGATGTGTGTTTCTTTTTGCATGACTTGTTATTGCTTGTGCTTAGTAAATGCTGTTAGAGTGAAGACACAGTTGTTGATCTTTCACTTCCCAAACTGTTAACTTAGATTATAGAGTTCAGTCACTTTTACAACCACTATGAGACAAGTGGGCCTGGACCAGGGGGGTCAAACTCATTTTCACTGAGGGCCACGAGTGTTATGGTGGCCCTGAAGGGCCACTTGTAATGAACTTTGATGATTCATGTTTAACTTTGACTAAACAGAGTTTATGTCCTCTTTTAAAAACTGATAAGAACTAAGTGTTTGACTGACTAAATCTGAAATAAATACAGAAACATTATTAAAAGTAAAACAAAAAAAGTTTTACTCACTGATAGGAATGCGCGATATAAACGATATACGGTAGAAACGATATAAATTTGTCCTATGATAGAGATCTGTAGTCTGCCGCCAACCGCGCAATTCTTCTTGATGACGTAACCAGCTGGAGTGAAAACAGAGGAAGTGGGAAGCAGCGTAGCTGAGAGSGYWAATGAAGAGGGGGAAAAAACATAACTTATCCAGACCTGGTTCGGGTGTGTGAAAATGAACGCCGAATTGTTTATACAGCGGGTAAAATAAGAACTGAACACGTCACCATTTTTCTCAGTAAATATATTACTAGAGGTGCTAATGACATGAAATTTTCACCAGATGTTGGTAACAACCCAAG